TTGTCATGACTCATGAGCAAATTAGAACAGCTATTTCGTAAATCTCTTATTAGGAATACCATTGCCCCTGTTGGGACTCCATTCTAATTTTTATACATTTTTCTCTTTCTTCTTTTCAATCACGCATTTTTCAATAAAATAATATTACACGAAAATCTAAAACATTTCCTTCTTTTTTAACCACACATTTTTCAAAAAAATTACTATTCTAAAATACATTTTTCCAAGAATCTCATTAAGACGGAGCCCAAACAAGGGAATTAGAACTTATAATAATGACTTTTATGTGTGAAACTGTTAGAAAAATGTATTTCACATTAAATTTTTCTAAGTGATGATAATCGTTGTCATTAAGTATAAAAATATGTTCCATACTGGTATTACTTAGGGATGATTATTATGAAAATGAATCCTGTTAAAAATTGTGAACAACTGGATAGTTACAGTTTTGGGTCTCTGTGGAAGTTAGTATGTTTGGTAAAGCTTTTTGTAGGTTACAAGTTGTGGGTCCAATAGAATGTGTGGATTAAGAGTGAATAAAAGTTGTGGATCCTTCAGAATATAGGGATAAAAATGATGTTCAACTAGCTTATAAGCTTGAATATATTTTACTAAACAGTCTATACAGGGCCTACCCAAGAAAAGTTAAGAATCAATGCACATGAATGTGAAAGTTTACTGACTTTCCAGATTTTGTTAAAATCGCCTTAAAGGAAAGAGGATTGATCAGTGGACATCTTTCTTCTTGATAATATTATACCGTAATTAGAAGAAAGCATCATCTAATTGTTACTTATCCTATTGATAAACTATGTTTCCAACAGAAAAAAAAAAAACAAAAAACAAAAACGTGTCTTCTACCCAGCAAAAGCATGAAATTTATTCTATGATGTGTTTTTTCTTGGCATCTTATAATAGAGATCCTGCATAATAATTCAGTGCTATGAACGGTAAGCGTAGAACACTGTTCATTTTCTGGTAGCCACACTGCCTCACAAGCACGTTTTAGCGTGCAAAGATGCTGACAGTGTAAAGGAATAGTAACATAACTTTTAATCTTTCATTTTCTCGATAAATATTACAAGGTTAAATTACACATCCAAGACATTTATATCTGGTCATTAAACACAGCATCCTATTTATCTAGCCTACAAACCATTATTAAAGCCTAGAGGCTCAAACACCAATTGTGACTCGTAAGAAATGTAAATTGTTAGCGACAAAAAATGAAACTAGTTCAATTGTTCCATTTTCAGTGTTCCTATCCATATCACTTCTTTACCATTCAGCGTATTAAGGAACTGAGCAAAATAGAAAAAAGCAAAGAGCAGAATGTGATTAATAACTAGTGAGCTAACCACTTAATCTTCACTCGACCGTGAATAAATTACAAAGCTATTTTTGGAAAGTTATTTAAAAATTCTTATATCTTTATATGATCTGCGATGATAATTTCCTGATTCCTATCTGATCCAACATTAATCAAGAATAACTAGGAATACTCAACCGTTTACCTAACCGCATTGCATCACAGTTATTCAATCTCCAAGAATTCTGTTCTTCAGTCAACTAATTTATTTCACATACATATTATTCCATTACAGAACTAAACCATCAAATAAATTCAATTCAATTCTACGCACATATAGAAAGTTAGAACTACACTCATTTATCCAAAAAACATATAAAACATAAATATGGATGAAATGTATGCCCGTAAAAGCTAACCTATGAGGGAAAAGTGAAGCTGAGAGGCCATTTTGTAAGCGGATCTCAGCAGCCTCAGCAGCAGCGACAGAAGGGAGGTTGACATGGGTAGTGAGGAGTAGATTCCGGTGGATCAAAAAACCAGTTCCACCTGAAGCAATTCTGGCCATGGACGGACCTTTGCTGGAGAAAATGGCGGCCTTAATTCTCTCCGTCTTGCCACCGCCATTACAGAAACACCATGACTCCCCCCAAACCCTCATTTTGTCCCAACCCAAAAAGAAAAACCCCTTAGAAACTATAGATCCGAAAATGTAGAGTTAGAAATGAAAATCCAATATACCCTTTTCTCACTCTAGCTAGCTGAAGAGTGTTAACAACAAAATTGTAATGAATGTGGGTTTATCAGGTGAAAAAGGAAAGCCAAAATGCGAAAAGTACAGAAAAAAACATCTGAAAAAATTTAGGGATGAATATAAAGCGAGCTGCGAGGCTATGTGCATATAGAGCAGGGTAGAGGGTAAGGGTGTGGGTGGGGTGAGCTGGGATTATCAGCAGCTAAGCTTGGATATGGAGTGTGGAATGAATGTGCATGACGGTAACATATATGACGGCGGATTTTTGACATTGGAGGATAAATAAAGTAAAACTCTATGAACATGCCAATTGAATATTTTTTTTTAAAAAATTATTTTTTCCATGTTTAGCAAATAGAGCTCTTAACCCGGTTGACCCTCAATTTTTTTTTTTTCAAATTAAAATGGGTAAAATAATATTTTTTTTAAAAATGAGTGATTAAAAAAAAGGAAAATTTTTCGATTACGTGTAATATTATTTTATGAAAGATTGTTTGATTGAAAATAAAATTTAATTTAATGAGAATCAAACGGGGAAATTAATGTTAAACCCCAAATTTATTTATTTTTAATTTTTATCACATATTTTATGAAATTTACAATTTTTAAATGATATATTTAATCAACTTTTATTAAAATTTACTAAAAATCTATTATTTTATCAAAACCAAACATAGCCTAAGCAAATGGAGCTCTTTTTATTAAATTCATGTTAGGCCCCATTTTTTAAATTTTTGTTTCTATCCCATAGTTTATAAAATTTACAATTTTTATCAATTTTTCGAACGATATATTTGATATTCCATCAGCATCTATCAAATCAACTAAAGATTTTATCAAAACCAAACATTAGGCTAAAGCAAATGGAGCTCTTTTTCTTAAATTCATGTTAGGCCCCATTTTTTAAATTTTAGTTTCCATCCCATATTTTATGAAATTTACAATTTTTATCAATTTTTCATATGATATATTTTATCAACTTTACCAAAATCTACTCCT